GCGAGGTTGCTTCCTGCTGCCACGTGAAAGTTTAGATCCTCCAAGACAGTGACATCTGGCCTGGTTGGGTACCTAAAACTTACATTGTTGAATTCTATTTCTCCCTTGATTTCTGTAGCAATTTCCGAGCCTGGCTCTTCTGGGTTTATTGCTGTTTTTCTGTCGAGAATAGAGAATACTGAACCAAGGGCTTGTGATCCCTTTATTATCTCTGGTGTCATCGAAAGCGTATCTGCTACTGCATATGCAGTAAATATCAACACCATGAATGCTTTCATGACTTTACTGAAGTCAGAAGTTCCATGCTTAATTAGCTGGGATGCATACCAAAGACCAAGTGCAAATGAACAGAATGAGAACAATTGGGACAACCCGTAGCCAAACCCTGATATGTGACCTCGGAAACGAGCTTTCTTTTTTGGCTGATCCAGTTCATGTGCAAAGTTTGACACTATCTGATCTTCAACACCAAACGCTGCCACTGTTCTAATGTTAGTGATGGCTTCTCGTGCTAGTGAACTAGCTCTAGCATAAGCATGGGCGTAATCTCCTCCAAATCCCATAAGAAATAGGTGCTGCATTATAGTTAAAGAGTGTTAGATTATAACTACTAGCTTATAGAAATTTTTGGTGCATTGGTACTGGTACCTCAGCTATATATGAAGCAATGAGGAGGGAAGGTCGCAATGACAACAGCTGCCAATCGCCAACTTAGCAGAAATGCTATAACAAAGGCTGTGACAGTAAGGGAGATATTCTGAATTATGCTTGACATCCTGTCTGCAACTGTGCTTTTTACCAGTGTTGCATCAGCAGCTAAGGTTGAGGCAAGTGATCCGCTGCTGTGTTCATCTAGGTCGAACCAGCCAACCTCATTTTTAAGGATTGCTGCATAGAAAAGACCGACGGACTATTCAATAATTAAAGATGCTGGGAACATACTGTATTTGATTCGCTAAAGATCTTAACATATCTAAGAATTTGCTGAATCACAAAAAAAAGACGAAATAAGAATCTTCAACATTGAGCTGTGTACCCCTTGATTACTCATAAAACACAAAGGAGCATTTAAGAATATTCCATTTGAGGCATACTAGCTAAATGTTGAAGATTTGGGAGGATTTTATAAATATCAATATTTGGGGGTATTTTAATAAATGTAGATGATTTGGGGGGTATGTAGCCAAAAAAACCAGATACACAGGCACACACACTCAAGACATTTATTTACATGGAATGGGATACATGGATAGAACATATTGAAATCCTTTCTAGATAGTTGATGTATAATAGACACATCCCATGGTACAGATTTTCAATTTGGAAATCCAAATTCTAGATTTGAATTGATAGTAAATCAATTTTGAGATGAAGTAGATATTGTACTACTTACCAAATAGAATTTAATGTTCACGTTCTCAATGTATCATCCATAAGGTTATTCAGTTTCACGTGTAGATTTTTATGTGTGCCTATTCAAAATATATTCAGAATGATTTTAACTTCTTCACGTTCCACAATGTCATACGACTGATTCTTAAGGATGCAGCTAGTAGCTCAGCAGATCGAGAACATTAGTAAATTCTTTATTAAACAACATGACTTTCTATTGCATGAAGCCGGAATGTGAGAAGAGCACCTCATATTTATTTCTTTTATAATTTTTCTGAATCCTCCCCTACAACAATTTGATCTGAGTTTTTGACAAACTAGATTAGTTCAGCTTGTCGGAAGAAACTAATAATGACGTAATTATATGTATATTTGCAGATAATTTAATTTTGAAAATTCAATGCATTTGTATAACTGCATCTACTACTCAACACGGTTTCTCAGGAAACTAGAATAAGGTGACCACCTTTGTTATGTAAGATTTTGCCTCCTAGGCATACTATCCAAGTGTATAGAAACAATCTACCTATTAGCGTCTGGGTGTTTCTTATTAGAGCAATCTTGGAAGGAATCCTGGATATAAGGAGGGAAATTGTTCTATGCAACAACAGTTTTCACTAGTAAATGGCCAGAATTTTGTTAGGTGTTTTGGCACATAAATAATTCTCAAGTTCTAGAAGGTGTAGGGAGAATAAAAATAGTGCCTTACTCCGGTATCTGAATGGAGCCTATGAAGATAACTTGTAACTGAAGACAGAAGTAAAACACTGGAAACTGAAGTCCACAAAAAAAGCTAGCAATTAGAACCTGAGAACATAAGTAGTCGAACGCGAGTTGTGAGTTTCTCCCCCATCAGAGTGTAGAAATAGTGTTGTAACGTATATATTGGCACAGTTATAATTGCAGCTCCAATGAAAATAAGAGAAATCATTTTGATCTCATGCTTGGTCTCGTGCTTGTTATGAGAATAAAACGCAGTCAGAACATGTGTAATCCCCAGAGCACAAAGAGGAGCTTGCATGCCAGCCAGTATAGCACCCACTGACCCCAAAAATCCAAATGGCCACTCTGGTTTATTCAATCTAATTGCTCTCCAAATAGGTGATGTCGATGCCAACTTCCGTTGACCATGTTCCTGGCTCTTCTGATTTCCTGGCGCCATTGATTCAGCCTTCTCATAATATACTTCAGTTTCTTGTTGATCGAATCCAGCTGACAATTCATATGAATCCCTGGAGAAAGTAATGCAATTTAAATTTGTCTGAACTTCAACAATATGGATACAATGATACATTTTATCTGCGCGCACTTTTGTTTGCATAGAATGTTAATGTTGTACAGTTGCAAATTCTGCTGAAAAATACGAACTATCCAAAAGGGACTCACATTAGTTGCCTAAGATTATTTTGGCTCCTCTTTTCGCTGTTTGCAGATGTCTGCAAGTTCACCATCTTCGCATATTCACCATCATCTCCCTTTGATATCAATTCCACATGTGTGCCGCTTTCAATGATCTTCCCATGCTTTAAGACAGCGATGGTGTCAACGTTGCTAATTGTAGATAACCTGTGTGCAACAATAATCGTTGTCCTGTTCAACATTACTCTTTCAAATGCACGTTGGATATGGTGTTCTGATTCTGCATCTAGAGCACTCGTAGCTTCATCTAATAGCAAAATTTTAGGATTCCTTAGCACTGCTCTTGCTATAGCAATCCTTTGTTTCTGGCCTCCAGAAAGTTGGGTTCCCCTCTCTCCGACCTTTGGTTGACAAATAAATTAGGATATAGTTACTTTTTATTTAGAGCAAAATTGAAGAAGTTGATATGAAGTACCTACCTCAGTCATGTAGCCACCTGGTAGATTCTGTATAAAAGAATGGGCATTTGCAACCTTTGCTGCCTCCACAATTTCCTCCATTTGTGCACCCTCATTTCCATGGAGAATGTTACTAGCAATAGTGGTAGAAAAGAGGGCAGGCTCTTGGCTGACCAATCCCATCTGGTTCCTTAGCCACTTTAGCTGAAGGTCCTTTATGTCATGCCCATCCAACAATATTTTGCCTGTTAAATACAAGTACTCAACATTTTGCATGTCCCTTCATTTATAAACATTTTCTTCCTTCTTTGTGTCTAATTTTAACAAGATACCGTACCCAAAGTTGGCTCGTAAAATCTTTCGATCATTGATATGATGGTGCTCTTTCCCGATCCACTTTCGCCCACGAATGCAAAGGTTTTTCCTGCACTGATTACCAAGCTTAGGTCTTCAAAGATCATGTGCTTTCGTGAGGGGTAGGAGAAAGAAACCTCAGAGAATGCAATATTGCCTACGACCTCCGGTAAAACCACTCCCTTATCTGACTCTTTTGTGACATTTGGGACATTTTCTATCATGTTTATTATATTGCTTGCTGCTGCCCGTCCTTTGGCGAAAGAGCTGAGGCTGGGTGCTGCTTGTCCAAGGGCACTGTAGATGACATATAACTACTGTGAGTCTTGAAGAAGCCAAATAAATGATCAATATTATGAAGCTGTACTAGTATACTTCGGGTAAATTCAACAAAAGCTCCCTTAAGTTCGATCGGCTGTTTTCAAGATAACCTCAAAATCGTGACATTTTAAAAGTTTAGCGGGGCTGTCTCAAAATCGTGCAAACTTAAGTGGGGCTTTTGTGAAATTTACCCATATATTTACTTGGAAAAAGCTTACAATCCACTATAAATAACATTTAGGATTGTTGTGAATGCTTTGCCACCGGTTGTAACTCGATGAATGACAAGGATTCCGGCAAACCAAAGAAGCAGAGCCCATGAACAGAATAGAAGACCAAATGTACAGCCGACTCCTAGTCCTTTTGCGAGTCCGCTCTTCTTTCCCAACTTCAGCGCGGTTTCAAGTGATTTTGAATATTCTTCTGTTGCTCTACCTTCCGCCACATATGAGTACACAGTACGGATCTGTGAGATCACCTGTCGAACAGTTATTTTAATCATCATTCTTTTCTAATAAATTCATTAAAACAGTATTAAGTATCAGAAATGTCAATCTTGTTTTCGGTCAAGGTAGAGCAAGGATCACTAACATCGATATAGAAAGAGTTTGTGCTATTGAGTCCAGAGTGATTCTATTGTATCGTAGAGATTGCTTCACTGTTTGTATATATTATATACTTTGTCACGTTTCCCACAAGTTCGTTCATAATGCAATGCAGGGGTTTTTTTTTTTTTTTTTTTTTTTTTGATCATGAGCTTTAACTGCATGACCCTGTCTAACCAAAGTTGCATCTAGATCTTTTGTTTGGCACCAAGTTAGTGATGGCTGTTGATCTATTGAATCATAGGCAGTTGGTAAATTTTTCAAACCTTTAGTTAGATTTCATGACATGAGATTTTGTTAGATATTATATTCATTCTTAATAAGAAATGGCTGTTCATCATCAAACTATTTCGATCTTTTCACTTTGCTTCAACATTAGTAATCACTACTGATGGTCATTTTCAGAAAGTCATTTAAATGGCTCAACTTCCTTCATCGAGAGATATGGATTGTGTGCTCATATTTTTACTTGGTTGTTTACTTTTCATACCGTGAATTTTTTACATCATCAAAAGGACGGCTTCTGGACATCAACCAACATGTGAGATCATGATAATGTTGATATTCTGTGATAGATTTGTATAAGTTGTCTGGTATCTGGAAATACTGTTTGATACTTTTCAATCTTCAAGGGCTATCTTTGCACAGGAATTTTTTTTATAGAAGCATGAGTAAATCAAATATTCAGAAGATATAATAGATGTACATCTTGGATACCTCTTCGGCAACTTTCCCAGCTTCAGCATATGCCTTCTCACCCTTCTTTGACAAGCTGGACATAATTATCGCATATGTTCCTCCAGCAACAACAATTAATGGCAAAACAGCCAGTGCGAGGAGGGTAAGTTGCCATACTGTGGAAAATCCCATGACCAATCCAACAAAAGATTGAGAAAGGTACCTCTGACAGTGACCAATCTGCATATAACATAGAAACCTTTAGTGCACATTTAACCCCAAAAGATCCTTTGAACAAAATCCAACTTCCTAATGTAGAAATAATAAAAGAGCATTATGATATGCCTACTTTGTTTTAACAAATCTCCTTTTTTTTTTTTTTTGTTTCAGTTGTCATTTGAGACATCTGGACAGGATGAAGAGCTTCAAGATCTCAGGTTTGTTGCATTAGCTAGATCTTTAAAGGAGCACTACCAAATTGAACATTTATAGAATTGCATCAACAGATCAGAAGAATTGCTAGTTGTTTTACCTTATCACCAATTGCATCCTGCACGAGAATAGCGTCACTTGAAATGCGATACAGTATGTTTTCTTCTCTAGCTTCTGTATCAAAAAATGTCATGTCTTGCTGTAAGACAGATTGGATGTACTTAACCCTTAAACGTGCTGTTTGTCTTTCTCCGGTATGCATCCAAAATGCAACCCCTGCGTATCAATCAGCGAATGCATATATTCTTAGTGCCATTATCTTCAGTTACCCGTCTTACGATATTTTAATTTTCAGGTCATACCAATCCACGCAGATGCCATGACCAGAAGTCCGAGATAGACCAGTTGTAGAGCTTGCTGCGAGTAAAGAAAACGATATTCGAGGTTAATAGCATTGGTGCAGAATTTCTCTCTGAGGTATGAAACAAACACCAAATACATATTGTTTTCCTAGGGGTTAATTGCAAGTAGACTCCCTTTACTATCACTCAATTGCAGATGGATTACCCCTGTACTTATATTGTTGCAGATAGACCTGAGTGAAATTCTTGACTCTTTCGCCCTCAGGAGGTCTATTCATTAGAAAACAACATAATTTCATCTCTCTCTAAGGATAAAAAGTCAAAATAATCTCACTTAAAGAGTAATTCTACAACAATAGAATTAAACGAGGTCTATCTGCAATTGGGCAATAGTAATAGTATAGTGGGTCTATCCACAATTATTACTTTTTCTTAATACGACGAATTATTCTTTGGTAGATTCGTATAGATACTTGAGAAGTTTCCCAGGACCTTTAATGAATCATACTTTATAATGCAATGAAGGTGACACATGCAATACCCTTCAACAGTTGAACACTTCATGAAATCATCAAACTACATACAACAAAACAAAGCAGAAAGCATATCGAAGAAAAAAGATTATAAAGACTTTTACTGAACTTCATGTCACCTTTGAAATCTCCGAAGCCAGCTTATGAGGATGTAACGAAAGAGAAGCTAATGAGTCGATGAGCTTCCCAAAGAGCACGAGGAATAGAGGGAGAGCAGCGCCATGAGCACACGAACCCACACTTGCGAAGAACATCAAGAGGTAGTCAAGCCTGTCTGCAAACGAGAAGAGCCCAGAAGCGGCCGTAGCTGGTTGTCGTCGGTTCTGTTCTTCAATAGAGAGCTCAGTATTTGACATTGTAGCGGAATGTTGAGAGTGAATACAGGAAAGAAATATTTCTGATGTTTTATGCGGACTCTTTTTTGTTTCATGGAGAGCTTGTGTGGGAGATTAAATGAGCACAGCTATGCTTTGGTTGTGGTTCGCCAACTAAATATGCTGCTTTTTAACTGTTTAAATTGAATTCCTGCTTACTGGTTTAATTGGTGAATTTGATGTTGACTTTCTTATCATGAGACTAGGACTTTCAACTATTTTTGTTGGCACAGATTTAATAACATCATCATATGGGTTCCAATAATGGGGTGCTCGTTGAGTGGGTTAATTCCAGCAGTGCATCCACTGTTTGGATCAGGTAATGGGCTTCATTTCAGGCCCAATATGGAAGTAGGCTGGGCTAAACTTGTTAGATCTTCATGGGCTGTAACTGTAATTGCATCTGTCAATTGGATAGAAAAGAAGTGTAACTATTATGTTTGACAACTTAATCAGTAAAAACTACTACGATTAGTTTTCCATTGCAAAGCTCCCAGCGTTAAAAATCTGTTAAGAGCATTTGGAACAGCATGTGCAAGAGCAATGTGATTCTCTACATTTTAGATTTCAGAGGATGTCTACAACTCACCCATAATCTCCCTTCACTCGATTAAACGCTATGTATTATATTAATTAAACAAATTATATAGAAATTCTTTTTGTTGTGGAGCCTATTGAAGGAACCAATGTTATTCATCCATGTAGATAATTGCAGATATTCTCTGCATTTTTAGGATAGAGGATCTCTTCTCCCTCTCTCTATCACTCATGTCTCTTAATGAGTGCCTATAAACATCCGTTAGAAAATCCCATAAAAGTTATTCATAAAAGGGACATTTAGGGCTGTCTATTCGGGCCCAAGGCCCGGGCCCACCCTGGTGTTCGGACCGGACCCGGTTGGGCCTGAGCTCGGGCAAAGACCAGAAACCGGGCCGAACCGGGCTCTGTGCCCGGACCCGAGTTGCTTCAGCAAAGCTCGCCACCGCGGCCTGGCCAAGGGACATGCGACGAGCCGGTACGGTCGGGTCTAGTCCCGACTAGGCCAGACCGGCGGTGAAAATTGACCAGGTCGAGACGCCGGGCCCCGACCCGGCGTTTCAACGGAACCTAGGTGATCGTTAGCACCGGGCTGACCAGGCCGGCCCGGGCCCAGCACGGGCACAACGGTCATAAATGTGACCGTTGGCCAGGCGACCGACCCGATCCGATCCGGTCTGCTATAATGGCTATTTTTGGCCTTTTGGCCAAAATACTCCCAAAACGGTTAAAAAGGTCCAAAATTTAAGGGTATTTTGGTCATTTAGGTAGGAGGCTGCCTCTATAAATAGAGGGGGTTTTCATTTATTTTTCTCATTCAAAACTCATCTACTTCTCTCTAATACTCTCTTATTCTCTCTAATACTCTCTTATTCTCTCTTTTACTCTCTAATTCTCCGATCAAATGGCTTCTTCATCCGATTATGAAGCACAAGCTTCAACTCCCGAAGTTGAAATGAGTCCTACTCCTACTACACCTACAGGAGTTACTCCTCCTTCCGATGTTGATCCTGAATCCGATGGCGATGCTCCTATGCTTAGAGCTCCTAAAAAATCGAGATCCGATGTGTAAATTTTTTTCGAGAAGATAGAAGTCATCAAGGATCAATACGTTAAACTTCTCATCCAGAAGGCTACATGTGCATTGTACGATTATATTTTCCAAGCTTATCATAGGAGCGACACCAACTACCTCAAACGACACTTAGAAAAGCACAACCAAGCTCAAGCGCGATGTCTCAAGGAGACATCTGCTAATATATACACTCCCTATCATCAACCTCTGGTAGCCTTGGTTCTTGGAACTACAACGCACTTAGAGCCAGGAAATGCGTCATCGAGTTTATTTTTTTAAAAACATTTCTTTTAAATTAGTAAAAGATGATGAATTTGAAGATGCGATTAGAGATGATTTTTATCCTGCATTTAAAAAAATTTCTCATCAATCTTATCAATGTGATATTTTGAAATATTATCACGAGGAACAAACAAAAAATAGTTTCTTATTTTCAAACTTTAAACTGTAAATTTTCTCTAACTTCTGATATTTAGACATCTAGAGCACAAACTGGTTATTTATGTATCACAACACACTGGATTGATGATAGTTAGTAAATATTTAAAAGAGTTATTTCTTTTATTGCATTTTAAGATTCACCCACTAGTGTTAATATTGCAAATTTAATATTAGAAGAAGTTACAAAATAAGAAATTTCTAAAAATATATATATTTTTCACTAGATAATACAAGTAATAATAATATAGTTGTAGATCATATCAAATCATCTTTACTACTGCCATATCATGGTGATATTTTTCATATTAGATGCATGGGTCATATTTTAAATTTCATTGTTCAAAGTGCATTTATTGAAATTAAACTCATGATAGAAAATATTAGGGTTATAACTTATGCTCATAATATTTTTAAACAAAGATTTAAAAGATGGAAATAGTTGTATAAAAGAAAAAAAATAAAATTTAGATTAATTCTAAAAGATGTTGACCACAAATAGAATTCCACCTATGCAATGTAAAATATAGTAAGAGAGTATAAAGAAATTATAAATAATTTTATTGCTTACTATGCTTCTAGTTCTATCTCTAGTAGTATGTATGAAATAATTGATGATGAATGGACACTTATATATAGTGTAAGAGAGATGATACAAGTTTTTTATGAAGCTACTATGTTATTATCCAACTATTACTCAAGTTGTTTTACAAGTTTTAAATATTCAAACTTTTTTACTAATTATTATATTGATAATTATTTTGGTGTAATTACCATAAAATTTTCAATATTCTTTTGAATAATTTTTCTGGTATTTTAATTTTTTTTGAAAAGAGTATTTTTTTTCCCTGTGTTTTCCTCTCACATTAACCTCTCTCTCTCTCTCTCTCTCTCTCTCTCTCTCTCTCTAATCTCTCATATCTCCTCCCTACCCAACTTCTTTATTTTCCTCATCATTTCCCGCATACCCCTCCCTCATGTTTTCCCCCTGCTACATCTCTCTCCTCCTCAAAGGAACCCCCCTCTCTCCCCTCTTCATCTCTCTCTACTCCCCCCTAACCAGCAAACAAACCTAGCCCAAGCTCTCTCCCTCTCCCGTCGTTCTTCTTCCCTGGAACCACCACCAGCCCGCCGCTCCCCCGGAGACCTCCTCCCACCTTTGGTAAGCCCAGACAGTGGGAAAAGGTTTTGAATAGCGAGGAACAAGCCCGAACAGCGAGCAAATTTCGACAGCCATGTGCCAACTTTACATGCACTTTCTGACCAACTCCGGTCTCCATTTCCGTTATCGTCTTCTCCGGTGAGTATCCCTATATGTTTTTGATCACCTCCAATTTGTATTACTCTCTAACTCACTCTCTATCTCTCTTGATATCATCCTAAACATCGCTGGATGGTAAGCAGTTCGCAGAAAACTGTAGCTTTGTGCTGACTTCGCACGTGCTTTTTGATCACCTTCGATCTCCGTTTATATTACCGTCTTCTCTGATGAGTAGCTCTATATATATTGTTTATCACCTACTTGGGTGAAAAATTGTATTCTTTATTGTATAACTCATTACAACTTCGATTGTTACAACAAGTTCAAAAAAAAAAGATCAGTCTTTTTATAAGACCTTTACACAATAAAATTAAAGTTACAATCTCCTTCAAACAAACACAATGAGTGTTTATCGCCCGCTGCTTGCGTGGGATCTTGGCCTATGACGGGGATGTTGATATCCGTGGATCACCAAACGATCAAATCATATCCGGAGCTTCTTTGATTCACCAATGAATCAATAAACCGAAGCAGTTATCTCGGAAATGGCGAGATAACCACGCTTCTCGAGATCACAACAACGGGGCGATCTTAAGGAAGGAACCAGGAAGTATGGATCTGACGAGCTCTTCTTCTTTATGCTGACGAACTCTAGCAATCTCTCCTCCTCCTCTCTGAAATTTATGGCTCTTCAGTCCTCAATTCGGCAGGGCTTCACCGATGCTCGAGAATTCCAGATCCGAAAAATAAAGACCATGAGGCTGTATTTATAGGTTTCAGGAGCCCTATCCTTGGATAGAAATGATTGACTCCCTCTTATCTTTAGTTAAAACCACTTAACCACATTATCAAATCAGTTGGAACAAATCCAAATGGTTAACAATCGAAAAACAGCTCTAAACTGTCAAAAACAACTTTTTGGGTCTGCGGACACCCGTGGGTGTCTCGGCGTGGCCGAGACACTTGTAAGTGTCTTGGCCAAGCCGAGACACCCCGGGGTATCTCGGTTTGGCTTTTTGGTTTTGGCGCGTCGAGTTTGTTTCTATCGTAAATTCGTCGTCCGGACTCGGAATTATGCGGTTCAAGATGCATTAGAAAGCCGACGAGGAGACCTACATGTTACCATAATTGAATTATATATGAAGTAAATGGGACATGAGGGGTGCTCCACCTTTCGTAAGGGACACGGGGCTACTGATCAGCTCTTGTTTCCGTTATTCCGAAGTTCCATTGCTTCGTATGGTTCGTCGACTCACTTCATGTGTTTGTCATCATCAAATGAGCTTTTGTAACTCTAATAGCGATGTTTATCATCTTCTCTCTGTCTCGAGCCGTGTGCGGGGACCTACAAGTAATTTTTGATGCTTACAGATACCTCATCCAAAGTGTTTTAGTCTCGTTTCTTTTATAGATGAGCCTGAAATACTTTGGATATGATCGGTCCAACCTTCAGTCGGTGTAAAAGGACCCATTGTTAGCTTTGATTCTTGACTCTTTCGATTTTCAATCTATTCGATGTTTTGACGAATAGCTGAAGTTCTCCAGGCGCTGCGTTTATCATCTGGCCGTCGTCGAAATCTTGAATCAAAATTAGTGAGTTGATTTTGGCTCGTATCGTCGAGTTGACTTTGAACTGACTATCTCCATTATGATATATTGACTCGTATTGACTTTCATCGCAACACGTTGACTGGCGTTGACCTAGGTTTACGCGTTGACCGACGTTGACCTAGTATTTCGTTTCGCCCAACGTTAACTTTTTCATAGCAACACGTTGACTGGTATTGACCTAGGGTTACGCGTTGACCGACGTTGATCTAGGATTTCGGATCGC